AGGAAGGAGGGGAGAGAGGGGTTGTGCCGTGCTCTGTCAGACAGACTCGTAATGATTACTTATACTACAGTAGGGTAGAGGGAGAGGGAGGGGGGAGGGGAGGAAATGAGAGGGAGGGATATTATTTTGACCTGATCTCATTAATGTTGGTTTTTGTGTACGTGTGCGTGTGTGTATGTTTGTGTGTGCGTGGGTGTGCGTGTGTATGCATGCGCGCATGCCTGTACAATTGTAGGTATGTGTATATTTTTATGTGCATATTTTAATGCGTGTGTGTGTTTCTCTGTGTGTTCTTGCATTGTGTTTGTGTTAATTTGTAAGCATTAGTGTAACTGGAATGTGTGGGTTTTTTTGTGTGTGAGTAGATGTTTGTGTGGGAATATGTTTATGTGTATGTGCTCATGCGTGTTTGTGGGAATGTGTATGTATTCATGAGTATGTCGATAGGCAGCCTTCATCTTCTATCTGCATCTGACCCTCTATTGTTATTTATAAGTGTTGTTTTAAATTGAAAATATATTTACACCGAATTTTAATATTTTAGCATTTTGAACTACCGTGCAGTGAACTGTTGCGAATGCAACCAACTTGTGTTTCGCGCGCTCATATGACCTTATGCAGTTGCGAGCGCCGTAAAACCCCATACTAAACTAAAAAAACAAACTAACCCTCTACTGTACTGCACATCTGTATGTAATAATTAGTAAGTATCAGTGAGACAACAATTATTTCTGGATGCGTTTGTTCTAAATCGCACAATTTTTGTGTGCAGTAACTTTTGAGTGTCAATTTGTGGTGTGTAAACTGTGCTAGATCTATGTGTGCAGTGTGTGTGTAAGGAAGTTCAAACAGTTTACGGTTTTTCTCAGTCCAGTTAAACTTTGCAGGTGCTTTCATCATTGTGATCTCATTTATTTTATATTTTGGAATTTTAAATTTTAATAAATTTTACTTATTTATGGAGTGGTGCTACACTTTACACCTGAGTGTGATCACGGAGGATTTCCTTTTTCTATTTTCACTTTTCCTTCAATAAAAAAAAATTGTGTTTATCTATGATGACTTATGAAATGTATAAATGTATTGGGTTTTGTGTCAAAATGGGTTCTCGCTTTGATTTTTTTAGTACTGGCACTTTTGAAATATATGCCTTGTTTTTTATTTTACCCACAGCCAATTTTTTTTATTTTCATTTTTTAATTCCTTATTTCTTTAGTTATGTTGTTCAAATATTTTCCTGGGATACCTGGTCTCCGGGCATTTGTATTGCCACTATGAAGACGGTTGAATGTCACAAAATGTAGAAGGTAGCATTTGTGTCGCCCGTCATACAGGCTGAAGGGCTAGAACTCAGAGGGCCGCTGGATCGGAAAAGTAAAGTAAAGTGAAAGTAAAGTGTCCCCAGTCTGCTTCACTTTTATGTGCTACCGTCTGACCGCTGAGGTGGGTGGTTGGCGGGTGCTCTTGGTGTGGGTTGCTTCTTCTTTCCTATCAAACATCTGTAGTCTTTATCTCCCCTCCTTCTTTTTTGTGTTTGTTTCTCTCTTGTAACACTTCTAATCTTCGGCACTTATATGACCTTATTGTGTTGCAAGTGCCGTAAAACTCTTACTAAAACAAGCAATCATCAGCATAACTTCAGGGGCTCAAAAACTGTGGTTGAAAATCTATCCAGAGGATGTTGAGCTTTGTATTATTAGAGCGTAGGTGCCATGTGGCATTGATGTACGAGCTTGAACGAGATAGAAAGTTTCAGGACAAACTACATGTGTACTGTCAAGATCACTAAAGGCCTCTCAGCGTCAAAAACTTTGAAACGGGAACAAAAACAAAACACAAATTTGCCAAATAAGGGAATTAAATCTGTAAGAACTATTTAACGTCAGGTAAATATTTGGTTACGTCCCCTGAATAACGGAACGTGATTTACGGTATTTTTTATTTTGGCTGCCATAATTATCGGGGTGGGAATAAGATTACTCCGTTTTCTTTACTAAAAAGTGTGTGTGTGTGTTCTTGTGCGCGGGGTTTTGTTTTACTTTCATTCACATTTCTTGCCTTTTTCTTTGCCTTCAATGAGATATTATTGATTTGATATGACAGAAAGCATTCAAAAGCTAAAACTAAACATGACATTTTCCCCTTTGCATTAGCAAGCACTCTCGTTTGAATGTGCTCAATATTTCCAGACCCAGTATATAACTGTAGAGGCATACTACCGAAGACTGTGTATACCCCACTACATCTACTTACGCTAGATCTGCCAGTGTACATGAGATAAGATAAGATAAGATAAGATAAGATAAGATAAGATACATCTTTATTGTCCAGATCCTGGCACATTGGTATGGTGTTTCACCACGTGTA